TACACATATACGGACACAGACAACGAATCAACACCTAACCAATCAGAGCAACATTAATAGAAAAAACATAAAAGAAGCATTAATTATTTGTGAACTAAAACTTAATTTAAGTCAATACAGAGGTGCCTCCCTGTATGTTTTCTAAATTAAAACAAAATGCTCGCGCAATATTTCGTACAATAGACGAAAATTTACCTGATGAACACACGAGTAGTCAAAACGTTGTTATAAAGTTTAAAAAATAAAATACTCCACTGTAAAAGTTGTTTCTTCTGGGCATTTTTATTTATCAATCTAATCTGCCAATAGTAATACTAAACAATAGACATCGATTACGCGTCTTTTTTTACATGCTTTACATTGTCAGGACCGACTTGCATGAATATTTCTTTGTATATAACAAAAATTTATACCATTTTGTTAGACCAAGAACTTATTACAATAAATACAAGTATAATAGTTAATGTTTACTATAAAAACAAGAAATTTAACATGCGCGAAGATTATTTGCCTTTTACAAAGACTAATAAAATACAAGTTACTACGTTAAAGTTTTTCCTTCTAAAGTAAATACACGCAGATTTAGAAACTCAAAGTTTCTGAATAACGCACCAACAACAAAGTAATCCTCTCACTGCCTTCCAGGCTTAATAGTAATACATGAAAATCCTGCTAGAGAAATTCACATGAAAATCACGCTCCAAATAGACAGAAATACGTAATTATATTGTCTATTTTAGGGTTTTTATACCAAAGACTATACTGTTAATGTTATGGTGTGAACGCCTGTTCCAAGTTGATGTCACAATACGTTAGTGTTAGGCCTATTGCGTTCTCTTCAACAGATATGGCGGACATTGCGATTGAAATACAATATATACACTCGAAAAACCCTAAAGTGGCATAAAAATGTGGTGTTAAAAGGAAAAAAACAACTTAATACTAATGTCTTATGGCATGTGTAATTAAAGTCAGAGTTGGGTTTCGGGGGGAGGGAGAAAATGTTTCTACTCCTAAAATTTGTCTGCTTCCCCTCCCACATCACCTAACATTAACTAAAACGTTTAATTAAATCTACGGTGTTTTCAGTTACTCGGCGACCCCTACATAAGGGAAACCTGCCCAACAAAATATTATTCACAGTCTGTTTAGCCCTTAGACATTTTTTTTTGGGGGGGGGGGGTTATTCTACTTATCCTTTTTTTAAAAAAGTCTTCGCCTCTAAGCCTATTTGTCTGCCACTCTTTTGCATCCACACTTTAGAACAATAGCAGTGTTGTGATTTGAAGCTAAATGGTCTCCACTGTTTGAGTATTATTTTTCATGTTATAAAAAAAGTGAATATGATAAGCCTGTTACAAATTTAACAACAAAAATCCATTAAAGTTTATACAAATAAACATTCGCGAAATAGAACAGTGAACATTAAAATAATAGATAAACATTAGTTCAAAAAGCACTAAATTTCAAAATAACTTGGCGACATTCACCATTTCTCTCCATAAGCAACAACTCTAGACGTAACATCAATTCCTCAATCTTCCTCATCCAATAACAATAAAACATTAAAATGATAACGGCACAAAAACGTGGAGATTACCTGTAGTGCTAATTTTTCTGACAAATTAATTTCCTAACATTCCATTATAACACAAATATTAAATAGCCCAACACCGTTTAAACTACATTCTCAAATTCAACAGTGAATATTTACATAAACTAATTTACAAATTTCGTATTTAGACTAGAAGATAAAACATTTTTAGCTCGTTGAAATGTATCAGTTTAAATACAATCTCGGTTGACTAACTTATATATTTCAATTATAACTATACAGCACACGTTAAATTACGAGACAGCACAACTTTTGTAATTATGGTGTGAATTAATATCAAATGCATTATCGAGTGATAACTACACATTTTGGTACACAAGAAAACTTAATGTTACAGTCAAGTACTTAACACAAAAAGTAAGTTCACCCTCATCAGGAGATATCTAGATAAAACCCTAAGTTACCTATGTAATTGAATCCATATCAAACGTATTACTATTTATAGTACTACTTTAATTTTAAAATATCTTTTAATTTTATCACATCTGCCTTTGTTACCAATTACTGAATTAGTACATAACCTTTAAAATCCGTGTTTAAATAGCTTAAAACATAAACAGATAAGGATTTACAAAAAAAAAAAAAATCTTAACGAATTAATAACACTCGCATAAATAATTTAAACCAGTAAAATATTAGATCTATACAACACTTTCAACAGTAGAACCAGAACTTAAAAGTAACATTAATAGTATTACTAATAGCCTAAAAGAAAACTAATACTATTCAGATAGGCCTATAAATTGGGATAATGTAAACTTAACGAAAACAAACATCTACTTCTTCTTGATATCGTGATGATAAATAATCGGCCGAATCGGAAAATTGGTTTAAGATAGTTTGTAATCCTTGCAGGTGATAACGAAAAGAATTTGCTAAACGAACAATCTGGGCTCCTTCCAATCCCTTATTTTGCTCGTTAGCTAACCCTAACGTTAGACCTAAACTATTCATACAGTCACTATCACCTACACTGTCGGAATCGGATGTTGAAGAACCTGCGCTGCCGAGTGCGATGTTTTCTTGGGGATGAGATGGGGTTTCTACGATAGCCGACGATCGAACTTGCACTATACGATTAAGAGTAGGTGTGGGGTCGGTTATATTTACTAACGCTGGTCCCCATACCAACTCATTTTTCACATCATGCAGCAGTGAATATAAATTAGACATATCAATTTTTAAGAGTAGATCAATTGGTGATGAACACTTTTCCATGCTTACACCATTAGCCCCAACATCCATATCTTTAAGACGTGAAGGAAGAAGAATGGTTGAATCCATATTTTTTATAGATTTCACGAAACGATCCATAGCACTCACAACTGACTGTTCAGAAAATGAAAATCTATCACTGCCAACCCCATGACAGCTTCTTTGTAGATATTGTTTCCTATGATAACTTTGCATCTTAATTACGTTTTCTAAAACTAAATGCTAAGAATGAGATCCAGTGGATGCAGCACAAAACAAGAATGAATTTAGCGTAAAACGTTTAATTTAACTAGCTTCCAATTTTATAACAGTTCTTGCAAATTTCGTCTGGCTCGCCAAGATACTCACATCCGTAGGATATCCACACCCAATTCTTTCTACAACTTTCCACGAACCTATTTCATGCTTGACGTTTGCATGGATTTAGGCTTACAATCTATATACATATATATACTCCGACTCGTAGATTAGCTTCTTCTTTTTTCTACTTTCAACCCCAACACTTACTGTGATTGGTCATATCCTGAAATACAAACACGAAAAATATTGGATACTTTATATAATTAAACAAAACTGTTGTAAAATACTTAAATATTAACTGTGATTTTTGCCTGTGTAAAAGTAAAATAAACTACTTCTGTTTGTTTTTCAATATGCTAAAATAAAATAATAAAGCTCTTAAAAGTCATACTACCCCAAGACAAAAATGGTAGTGAACGTTTCCGTCAGCTGATCACGCGAGACGCTATGATCAGGTGATGAAGTAGCGTTCTTATTGGCTTATTCTGTACAAGCTATTTCGCCCTCTTCATTTTATTATGTTCAGCAAACAAACGTAGTTTATTAATACACATTGAATTGAAAATTAAAATTATTTAAATTTACATGGACAGCGAAAACCACAAACGTAGACACTCTACTTCGTATGAGATGGGAAGGAAATCATATTTCTTTGTTTTTATTGAAACAACTTGGAAAATAATTCCGATTTCTTTCGGTACAAAAAACAGCGAAATGGTAAAAGTACTTGCCTTTTCTTTTTTTACAATAATTTATTGATATAAGATAACCAGAAACTCTTGAAAAAATATAATAAATTCTCCTTGTAACACTTTAAATTAACTGAGATTTATTATTCGATTAAATATATTATAAATTTTAATCTTTTCAAACTCGACTGGTGTGTAGAACATATTATAATTTTCATAGTAGGGATCGCAAGGAATTGCAAAAACTCTGATAGAACGTTCTGACAAAAAGTATCTTAAACAGTAAAGATTCAGTTCAAACAACACTTTAAAACCTTTAATATTGACTACTAAGGCTGCACACATATAAAAATGCACAAAAAAAAAGCACGCATATTATATTTAAAGGAAAAGAAAATCCTCTCAAAACAGCCCATTTGTAATTATTATTATTTGCCAGTCTATAACAAAAACGGCTTGGTATATTGCACCCAAACCTTTTGTAGAATATTAAATGAGGTACTGCGGAGGTAGTAGGGATACTTAAAAGTCGATTTGTTTCTTTTATATTTTACATGAGCTAAAAATCATAATTCTAGGGTAAACGATGTTATCATTACCCCCTGAAGTTAGTTTTCTTACAAATATCTGATGTTCCTTTAAAAAATACAGGCACTGAACCTGCTCGCCCTTTCAACCGTGAGAGCGTTATTATTATGACAGTCAATCCCCCTATTCGTTAATAAAAGAGTAGTCTAAGAGTTGTCTGTGTGTGATATTGACTAACTGTCTTCTTTCTAGTCTATCACTGTTGAATTAGGGAAGGCTAGGAAACCAATACAAATATATATATATTGCGCCATCTGTTAACAAACAAAGTATACGATTTTATAGTGTTTCTAACGAATTCTGGAAAAAAACTGTTACAAGTTTTCAATTATTTACTCTTGATTTTCAAAGTTAGTACGAAAAACAAAAAATATCATACATGAAGACGCGAGCTAATACCAGATTTAAGTTATCGTCTAAAAATGTGTTTGCTTGATCTTTTCTTTTATCGAGAGGATAGTGTTATTATCATTGTTTTATTTTTCTTCATTTATTTAAAATATTTCTTAAAAATGGATGGTAAATCTTTAATTTTTACCTGTATAAAATTGATACGAAATATTGAATGTTACGCCACTCGTGTACATTTGTAAAACATTTAACAATTTAGTAATTTGATATATGTAATAACATAAGAATATCAAATTTCTAGCCTGGAAGTGGAAAGTATTTCACGTTCCAAATCTTAGAGGTATTATCACTGTTGGGTATCAAGTTTAATTTATAATTGAATTGGCTGTTTGGATAGTGTTTAAAGTATAGTCAAATTTAAAGTATTTTATAAATGTTATAAAACACACACTAAAAAGTTAGTTTTTAATATGTTTAATAACATATTTGGATACACTTTAAAAGCAGTGTTCCTTTCCAATGAAATACAGTGTTCTTCAATCTAAACATTTCTTTTCATATAGATTATTAGACCTCTTCAAGTTATTATAATTTCTGATGTAGTTGTGGATACTGGTTCTGTATTATTATTTTTTTGCTTTAAAATATTAAACTGTAATGTTTTAAAAATTAAAGTTGGCCACTTACATAATATAAAACTCCCCTGATACAGTTTTAGCGTTGTATGTCTCTAAACTTTCCAAACTTTCTAAACTTTAAACTGGGATTGCCCTGGCTCTGGGGTTATTATATACAGATACTCAAACTCAATTTTTTCACTTTTTCGTAATCGAATGATGACTCCCTTGTGTCCTCCTGTGGATAGGCGGTAAGTCAGTGGGCATACAACACTAAGAATCTAGTTTCGATACGCACTGTGGGCAGAGCACAGATAGTCCATTGTGTAGCTTTGTGCTTTACAACAAACAGTAACAACAACTTCCTTGTGTTATAATAGGTTTTTAACCCTAAAATTAGAAGATTGCTTTTGTAGTTTTCGTTACTGATGAGGTGCACAAAGTATATTATCTTGAGTAATGTTAAGTTATGGTATAAAGAACTGACCAGCAAAACTGCATGAAATCACCCATTTTTTATATAAGAATACATGAGGGAACAAAGAGTGATTAACTTCGTTAATTGCACTACTAATGGTATTTTGTCTCTTTTTTTTTTTGTATGACTCATATGATCTTAGATAGCCTGTAACCAACAAGGTCATAGGCCTATCAACAAATTGCTGTTTAAGTAGTTGAGAAAAGTGTTTTTAAAAGGTTGGTCGGTTCATATGGACTCCACCAATAAGTTCTAGGGATAAGTTCTAAGTACTTTATAGTAATAGAAGAAAGTAAGATAAGACGGTCCCCTTCAGTAAACGGCTTACTCGTACGTGGCATAATGAGAGTCCGTTGTGTTTTTGTGGCTTTTCTGATTCAACCGCTCACAGAAAAAAAAACGCAAAAACGCTACCACAATTTTTGTTGACAACATACTTCAAAATATTTAGCGTGGGGGGGTCTAGAAATTAAATCAGACATTTTCCTTCGTCGTCGGTAACTCAAAGGTAAGTCTCAGGGCTTATAACTCTAAAAATCAGGTTTCGATACCCACGGTTGGCATAGTACGTGCGGCTTTTCGCTTAACAATAAAACAAACTTTTTTTTTTCCTATAGGGGAGAGTGAGGTAATGCAGTCCCCTTCTGTAACACGGCCATTTTTGTTTTTGTTTTTGAATAACTTTAGTCTGAGAGAAGCACTTTGAATTTTTATGGTTACAAAGTAGACAATTCATATAATTTCACTTTGTTGATTTCAAAAAATGAGGAACTATAGACAGCCGAATATGACGTAAAAGAAACATCTGACGTTTTTATAAGGCTTGTTTGTTTGTAATTAAGCACAAAGCTACACAATGGGCTATCTGTGCTCTGGCCACCACGGGTATCGAAACCCGGATTCTAGCGTTGTAAGTCCGCAGACATACCGCTGTGCCACTGGAGGGCTTTTATAAGGCGCAGTTATCTTTAGTTGAATGGCTGAGGGTAATTCACAACAATCTTACACTAAATTAATACCAATTAAATATTTATTAATCTTTAATAGTCATGTTCTTTGGCGTTATGACCTTCACAATCTCTTTCTTGAGCACTTAAATGGTAATTTGTGTGGTTTATATGCAGCTGACAAATGGAGCAATTATTTAACATTGAATTTGTTAGAACAAAATGGCCTCCATTTGACTCGCATGTTAGGGGTCCGTTTTTATCCAACTTGATATTTAAACGGCTCCAACCACAAGAAATAAATGTTTTCGATATCTGAAAAATATTTTGCCTAATCTTTAGTTTGTTTTAACACCTTCTGCTTGTTTATGACTTTCATCTTAATTGGTGAAAACCGCCTTCAAAATTAAGATACCTGTCTTAACCCAATTTTTCATACTGTGAAGTTTATTCTGTATCTTTGACCAATAATTATTCTAAAGGAGCAATACCATCCATTTCAACATATTGAACACTTTTAGTTAAGTTATGTTAGAAATTCAACTTTCTAATAAGTAACAAGGCAGATATATACTATTCTGATGTGAACAATTTTGGTGTGAATGTATCTCATTGTGTAATACTTTATATACTATTCTGATGGTTATTTATGATGTGAACAATTTTGGTATGAATGTATCTCATTGTGTAATACCTTATGTACTATTCTGATAGTTATTTCTGATGTGAACTATTTTGGTGTGAATGTATCTCATTGTGTAATACTTTATATACTATTCTGATGGTTATTTATGATGTGAACAATTTTGGTGTGAATGTATCTCATTGTGTAATACTTTATATACTATTCTGATAGTTATTTCCGATGTGAACAATTTTGGTGTGAATGTATCTAATTATGTAGTACCTTATATACTATTCTGTAGTTATTTCTGATGTGAGCAATTTTTGGTGTGAATGTACCTAATTGCGTAATACTTTATATACTATTCTGATAGTTATTTCCGATGTGAACAATTTTGGTGTGAATGTATCTAATTATGTAGTACCTTATATACTATACTGATAGTTATTTCTGATGTGAACAATTTTGGTGTGAATGTACCTAATTGCGTAATACTTTATATACTATTCTGATAGTTATTTCCGATGTGAACAATTTTGGTGTGAATGTACCTAATTGTGTAATACTTTATATACTATTCTGATAGTTATTTCTGATGTGAACAATTTTGGTGTGAATGTGACGTTAGAAGAAAACCTAAAAGTATAAGTTCATGTATATTCGAATATCCGAACTGCCCAGATCCTACCAGCTATTGTATATATCACATGCTTGTTATATTTACAAATATTTCCATGAATGATTAGGTCAAAACTATGATTAATAATCACATAACACGATTTATTGCGTGCTCCTAATCTTTATGGCCATATTAACCGGTCTGATTATGTTATTTTCCACAGTGTGAGCTGTATTGAAGCTAACATCACACGTCAACATTGACAGTTGGGCCGTCTTTCCTGTATAAGCTTCATATAACTGTATCAGATCTGTACCTCGCGTTACTCAGTATGCAAATGAATGCTTTGACAGAGCTGCACCAAACATGTAACCTTAATCTTCATGATCGATATCAGGAACATTTACGTGTCAATAAATTAATTATACTGCTAACATTAACCCTATATGTACGGTTGGGAGTCATAGTGCGCATGCCACGACCTTTTATAGAGTGACATTCAATATGGTATTATATATTTAATGTCAGAAATATCAATAATTCGTTTTACCCTACATTGCCGATTTAATGACTGTTCGTGGTAGAGGTGGGTAAATACCAGGTACAATATATATATTGGGAGAAAAACTGGAGATATGCAAACTGTACGATGGACAAAAGTATGTCTATTCTTCACCAGAGACGACGTTGGGCACTGGCAAACGGGACATTCTACTTGACAGTGCCCCGAATCTCTAGTTGGTGTCTTGGAAAATCAGAATAGAAAACCATGATCGATATCATAATGAAACGCCAAAAATCCCATCGCCTATGGACCCGAATCTTTTAAATACCTAGTGATTCCTCAGCTTAGCACTTCAACTTTTCAGAAACTGGATCAGACTGACGTTGTCAAATCGCACACATATCCTGAGCACAAATACTTTTGCAATACATATGATTTTTTTTTTAATTGTTCAACAGATTGTACATTTTACCAAAGTCTTGCCACATTTTGTGTAGATACACGTAGTAAGTTCGGAATTATAATCAACATTCCTTATTTAATATATTGTTACGTCTCCGTTCGTTAGTTGATTTTCCGTAAATTCGTTCCGACGAAACTTTAGCGACACAAGTCCTTTCTTAAATAAAAATGGTTTATTCTTTCCGAATACAACTTTACGATACACTTAATTTCAACAGTCGCTCTATAACAACACTATAATTCTCGTCTCACGTGCTCGTGCTCGACAATACTCAATTACACACTCGCTGACTGCAGTTCAATTACTCATTACCTACACATTATCCCGTCACGTTGTGACCGTCTTATATATATACAAGACTAACACTATATCTAGTAATCTCCCGACAATTCACGAAGGTTCGAGAGAACGAGTGGCGTGATACTAGTCACGTGACCTCGCTGACGCAACAATATATTTATTGTCAATTGAGAAGTAAATATTTCTGATGTGCTATTTCTTTTACGTGCTCTTGACTCGCATTAAATAGTTGATGATAAATAGAAAAAATATATAATTCACACCAATAAATACAAGTAAAATATGTAGTTTTTATTCCACTGGGACTACTTTTAACATAATACATGATAAACTATAACCAAATTACAGCTTTTCTATAACGTATTATGCAACGGTTGAAAATATATCCTTCTTACATACGTTATAGGAATAATAAAAAAAGTTCAAGAACAAAATCTTAAAAAACTCTAAAATATCTGTTCCAAAGAGAATTTAAAAACTTTTTCATCATGTACGGTCAGCACACAGTCTTCTCGATTATCTACCTCAGCGGGTCCCAAACTCTTTTAGTCTGGAGCTCCCCTGATGTGAATAAAAAGGTTTGAGGCTCCCACCCCAACCTATAAAAATGCCTTAAAATGTGATTTTTCAATTTCAAAAATAATTTTTAATTAACTTTATTGATATCTATGAAATACTTTTCTCTATTAAATTGTATGTTTGTAATTTAATGTGGCCTTTTCTTATCAATTTATGTGTATTATAATTAGACCAATAGCAATTTATTATGTTTGGGTTAAATTTATAGACTGGTGAGCAATTAAAAAAAAACACTTAATTTTATGTAAGGTTATCTTATATTTGTTTAAAAATATAAAACAATTCTTTAATTTAAATTTTATGATTAGTAATAAATTATAACAAAAATGTAGAATTAAACATTTTATTTACAAACTAATCTACAGTCGAACTAAAATAAAACAGAAAAAACATAGAGCCCCCCCCCCCCCCCGATATCGTTGACAGAACATTACGAAAATATAAAAACAGTAATAATGATTGAGTAATAAAGCCCAAAAAGTTGTAAAAAAAAAAAACACAGACTAACTGGATGTTTAAAAGTTTTCTCACAAACGATAACGAAGCGGGTCTTTATACGCAATCCTCAATACAGTGGTGATTTTTTTTTTTTTTTCAGAACAGCGTACTTCCTCGTTACAATACATACAAAAGCTATGTGAAACTGTATGTTTCTATTACCCACGTGTGTGTAAATGTGACTTTATAATTATTTCTTTACCAAGCTCACGTGGTAAACTTGTGTTGGCGTTTGACAAGAAAACTGAAGAGATGAATATTTTGTGCCCTTGGTTGCAAGTAAGCCGTTACCTTTTTTACCATATTGATAACAATACTACTTTAGTTACTCTTTTAAACTTTTGCCAAATTCTATAATGTTTAGTAGCAGTTTCTTTTAAGTAAAACTAGGTGTAAGAAAAAAATCAAACTCTCAAATGCTCTCTGTCACGCTTTCTCCTTCTTTTAGCGACTTCGTCTCCCTGAAAGAAAGAAAGAAAGAGGGGTGTCAGAGATAAAAAAAAATAAGAAGAAGAAGAAATTTTAGAACAACAAAAATTCCACATTATTAAACTTTAGAGATACAGAGATTCTCCCTAGTCCACCTAAAATAGTTTCTAGAGTATTTCTCTGGGCATGTGACAACATGTAATAACCTATCAATCCACTAGTTTTAAGACCTTTCGTATCCCCCTCTTTTTATTATTTTTTTTTAGTTAAGCTACTGCTTAATAATCTATTTGCTCTAGTGTTTTAACCGTTCTCTGGAACCACTTTCGTACAGTTTAGGCTTGACTGTATCAATAATTTCAAATTTTAATCTAATAATCATTTTAATGTTTTGGTTTCTGTTTAGGATAAAAAATTTTGTTTCGTCATTAAGCGTAAAGATACACAAAGGGCTATTTGGGTTGTGCGCCCTTCAGAGGACGAACCCCGATTGTTATCGTTACTAGCAGAAATACCCGCCCTCCGGACAGATATAACTGCTATTGGGCCTTGCAACCTTTTCTGGAATTGTCTGAAAGTTTTACAACAATGTACTCATACTTGACATTCAATAATGTTTACCACCCATGAGAAAAGGGATTTAATTGAAATTTTAGTTTAAAAATGAGCTAATATTACATCACAGAGTAGATTTTATTGAAGTATTTCTTTGTATTATCAACGAAAGTGCCTTGCTTTTCTGTTGCAACACTCATGAAATTTTCAATAAAGAAAAACAAATAATTTCGAAACTTACTCCTTTTTTTTTTTTAGTTAATTTTTATTGGTTAAAGCTGAAACATGTCATTTTTGTGGAAATTTCAATTGTTTGATTTATTGCCCAGCTTTAAAAAAAATACTGCCTACTTATAAAAATATTACCCAGTTATGATTGGTGATGATCGGTGACGTAGTTTCCGAGATTCGAGTTTTGGACGTTTACATCGCAAGCTCCATTATAATAAGATTAGCTCTCGACCTTACTGCTGAGACACCAGGGATGTTGGACAGAATGTAAAATTTCAGTTATGCTGGTATGCAAATTATTGTTTTCCTCCTCGTTTTTACATTTTGGCGTCCCCCAGTGGCACAGCGTTATGTCTGCGGACTTACAGCACTAGAATCCGGGTTTCGATACCCGTGTTGGGCAGAGCACAGATAGCCCATTGTGTAGCTTTGTGCTTAATTACAAACAAACAATTCATTTTGGCCAATAGTGCGTTTAAAGTTCGTTACCCGAATACTTTCAGGATTTCGTACTTACCTTCAGAAGTAGGGATTTGGAGACACTGAAATAATTTAACTTTCAACTATATTAGTGCTGTCAGAGGGCGCTATCATAGTAACTGTTGAAAAGTTCCACAGTAAATTTAGATAAAAATGACTCGCTTGATTTAACTTTATAAAATTCTTAATATTTGTATACCACTAAGTCGGAGCCTTTTCGTTAGTTGTAAAAATTTTAATAGGAACGCTACATCTAAGTCAGAGTCGTGTGTTATTGTTATGAGTGTATCTGGGAGATGGTTTTAGCGAGTATCTCAATATATCTGTTATAATAATACTCGGTTTTTGTCTATCCTGAAAATGCGCGCGCACCTTATTATCTAAATATGCATGCATGCACGCGCTCTTCATTTCAACGAATGTAAACAAAAGGCGGATTTAAATATACTTTAGTCGACATTTTGTACAATAACGTATGAAAAGCTTATGAAACTTTACAAAAAGGTCTAACGTTAGGTTATAGAATAACAGAATAGTTTATTCATTGATAGTATAAATACGGTAAAGTTTAGCCCTAACTAAACTAAAGCAAAACACGTACACAA